AATGCATCTTGACGAACGTGTCGGGGATAGCTCGGAAAAAAATTGTAAGCTTTTTGCAATTTTTTTTCAAGAAATCTATACGACATTTTCCGATGAAGATCGCGACCGCGATTATTTTGCATTTCATCCAGAATTTTCAAGGGACATTGGCGTCAATCAACTTCAAGTGCAGGATATTTTGCAGGCTTTAAAGAATTTAGACGCCTCAAAAGGTCCTGGACCTGACGGAATTCCTCCAGTATTTTTAAAAAGTCTAGCAATGGAACTCACTGCTCCATTGTTTTGGCTTTTTAATATGTCACTGGAATCCGGAACCTTCCCAAAAATATGGAAAAGCTCATTTTTAGTACCTATTTTTAAATCTGGCCGAAAATCTGACGTACGTAATTATCGTGGAATAGCCATTATCTCTTGCATTCCAAAGCTTTTCGAGGCAATTGTAAATGAAAAATTATTTCTTCAAACCAAAAATAGAATTACTGACATGCAACACGGCTTCTTTAAAGGACGTTCGACCTCGACAAATTTACTTGAATTTATAGACTATTCATTAAATGCAATGGATAATGGAAACCACGTAGAAGCTCTCTATACAGACTTTAGCAAGGCATTTGACCGAATTGACATACCAATGCTTCTTTTCAAATTGAAAAAAATTGGAATTGAGCCAGGACTCCTGAAATGGCTTGAATCATATTTAACTAACCGCCAACAAATAATTAAATTCAACGGAAAGAAATCGACCCCAATTCAAGTCACCTCAGGAGTCCCGCAAGGCTCTCATCTGGGACCTCTTCTTTTTATTCTGTACGTAAACGACATTTCCTTCATTCTCAAAAAAATAAAATTGCTAATCTATGCCGACGACATGAAGCTCTTTTTGGAAATAAAAAATGATGAAGACATCAATATATTCCAGAGTGAAATACACATATTCTACACATGGTGTAAAAAAAGCCTATTAGAACTGAATGTAAAAAAATGCAACTTAATATCATTTAGCAGAAAAAGAACACCATCAAACATTTCAATTGCATTAGGAAATCAGAATGTAGAAAAATGTGAAAGAGTCAGGGATTTAGGGATTATCTTAGACTCCAAACTAACTTTCATAGACCATTACAATACAATTATTCACAGGGCAAATAACATGCTAGGCTTTATCAAGCGCTTTTGCTATAACTTTCAGGACCCATACACAATTAAAACACTATATATTGCCTATGTGAGGTCAATACTGGAATATTGCAGCATTGTATGGTCTCCATTTTCAATCACGCACGAAGAAAGATTAGAATCAGTACAAAAGCAATTTCTATTATATGCCCTTCGTAAATTAGGTTGGACATCATTTCCTCTTCCATCATATGAAGCACGCTGCATGCTTATAAACATACAAACATTAAAAGAGCGTCGTGAATATGCAATGGTTTCGTTTGTAAACGATATCGTTTCGCAGCGCATTAACTCAGCAGAACTTTTATCAAAATTAAATTTTTATGTACCAACTCGACAACTCAGAAATCGAAATTTATTTGCCGTAACCCATCATCGCACAAATTATGCAAAATTTGGGCCATTAAATCGCATGATGGCGTCTTACAATCAATACTGCGAAACCATTGACTTTTCAATGTCTCGGCATAAACTAAAACAATATTTTAACTCCATACGGAATCATAACTCGTAGGAAGTAAAAATATAATAGCTGACAATATATTTTTTAATATTCTTAAGAAAAACAAATTTGTATATGTATTTGTACTAGTCTACATCGGTTGATGAAATAAATAAATAAATAAATAAATAAATTAAGAAGTATGCGACAACTGGCGAGGCATCATGTAACTGTGTATTGTTCTCAAAGTTCTGTGTAAAGTTATCCTCAATCGGATACAGGAGAATATCGACGCAACTCTCCGACGACAGCAGGCAGGATTCCGTGTTGGAGTTTCCTGTGTGGATCATATTGTCACGCTCCGCATCATCTTGGAGCAGGTCAATGAGTTCCAAGAGTCCCTGTACTTGGTATTCATTGACTACGAAAAAGCTTTCGACCGACTAAACCACGAAAAATTGTGGGCGCTCTGAGACGCAAGGGAGTCCCTGATAAGATCGCCAACCACATCGAAGCGCAGTACGAGACTTTCTTATGCAGAGTGTGCTACTGTTTCTCATCGTAATCGACGAGATCATGGTTGGAGCCGTTGACCGTGTACCGAGCCGTGGGTTGCTGTTGCAGCCTATTGCCATGGAGCATCTCAACGACTTCGATTTGGCTGATGATGTTGCGTTATTAGCACAATGGCGCTCTGACATGCAGAGTAAGCTCGACGACCTTGTGGAACGCCCCTCTGAAGCAGATCTAACCTTCAACGTCAACAAGACCAAATCGTTGGATGTCAACACGGAAAACCGTTCCAATTTCCCGGTCGCTGGGCAGGCAGTGGAGAAAGTCGAAAGCTTCCAATATCTTGGCAGCCTGATAGCGTTTGACGCCGGCACCAAAAGCGAAATAGGTGCACGGATTAAGAAGGCGAGGGCTGCTTTTGCTAGTTTGCGAAATGTATGGAGAGCGAGTCAGATCAGTCGACGCACCAAAATCCAAATTTTTAACTCGAACGTGAAGTCTGTGCTGTTATACGCCAGTGAAACATGGTGTGTATCAGCGAAGAACACTCAGAAGCTGCAGGTGTTTATCAACCGATGCCTGCGGTACATAATTCGTGCCTAGTGGCTCCACAATTGGATCTCAAATTCCGAGCTTCATCGTTTGTGTCATCAGATGCCGATAGGGACAGACATTCGTGAACGGAAGTGGAGGTGGGTCGACCACACACTACGACGGAGTGGAAACATCGCAGCAGAGGCAGACCCAGAGGCTCGTGGCGGCGGAGCCTAAACAGTGAAATTAAGAACGTTGACTTGGGCACAGGTCAAGGCCAAAGCTAGTAATCGCCCAGGATGGAAATCTTTCACAAAGGCCCTTTGCAAGCTTGGAGGTGCGCAGGATCGTTAAGTAAGTTTATAAGGCCATTTTAAGCATATTTAGGTTAACGGCGCCGGTGGTGTTCAGGCTTGGGTTCAATCGCAGTCGGCGCCGCCGGGATGTTCTAGAAGTAAAGCAGTTGGTCCCCGGTTCATGAGTTGATGGATCGATAGATAGGGTCCAGGTGTGGGAGCTGCCTTCCTGGCGTCGGTAGCATTGGTGCTCAGCACGGAAAACAAGATCGACGGAAAACAAATCAAGGAAAAAAAAAAGGAAATTTAGGGCCATTGTGTCGTTTCAAGATTCTTGAGAGTTGTCATTTTCAAGAAAGGCTTTATGAATTCCTCACGGCAATCTTGAAAACCATAATAATCATGCAAATTTTGACCGGAAAGGTATGGGTCTTTAAATGCTTCCAGTTTTGAAACAAAATTTGATTTTATTTTTAGTTGATTTTACGAGTGAGAAAAACTTAAGGGCTACTCAAAAGATTAATAAATAATCATATTTTCTTTTTTCAAATATTGGCAGCATATGGTAAATATAGGTAGTTTTTTACTTTTTTTTTCACCCATGTTATTGTTTACATTAACTCAAGAGATAAGGTTGTGTTGTATGTTAGCTCCAGGCCTGATGCGTGATAATTTAATATAATTAGTTTACATACATTTTGCTCTCGAGTGCGTTATGAGTTTTTCGGTTGTGTTTTTGTAGAACGGTGATTGAATTCTATGAGCTCCAACCTCCGGCTGCCAGGTTTATTTTGAAAAAAGCTTCATCCAAATGGACGAAATGAAGACATCACGATACTTTTCAAATCTGTGGCTGGATGGGGATCTGTTTTCATATTTATAAAATTGAGCCTTTACAGGAGTTCAGAGAAGTTAAAGGAACTTAATTTGGTTCAAGGGGAATTCGTAAGTTCAGGGCACGTTGTACAACTTCAGGGAACTTTGTAGATCTTCAGGAAACTACGTAGAAGTTCAAGAAGTGTAGCAAATTTTGTAGAAATTTGACTTACTTTGTAGAGGCTCAGCGAATTTCGAAGCATTTTAGTAAACTTTGCAGCAAGTTTTGAAGAAGTTCAGCGAAATCTGTAGAAGTTTAGTGAACTTTGTAGAGCTTAATTGAACTTTTTAGAAAGTAATCGAAATTCTTTGAAGTTCAGAGATTGTTCTTTAACCTTAACGTAAAAATTCAGAAAACAGCGAACTTCGTAGACGTAGGTAATTTTTACAAGTTTGGGTATCTTCGTGTAAGTGAAGGGAACATTGTTTAATTTCATGTTATGGTGGTTCCATCCTATCAGCCACATTGTTACAACATAAATATTATGGTATGCGCTCGATGTAATAGGTAGGTATTGAATATATATGTGTCTGGATTAACGGACCGCCTGTTATTCGGTGCAATACGGTACACACAGTTGTGTTCTTCAGAATATTGCTGATTGCATCTGCAACTAAACAGTCTCAACAATTAAAAAAAGTGTAATAAAAGTACACGTTTCCGTCAAATCGTTTTGGTGTTTTGCTTGCATCATAATGAATAAGTGCACCGAAGACACCAAGACGATTAGACGGGATCTTTTAATAAGTGCAAAAGCTTATTAGTTTAGTTTGGTGTGAAGTGTGTAAGACTTCAGGAAATGTTCATCATTTTCTGACTAAGAAAAAATTGCATTGTTGACATGCCTGACTTTTAACAACGGAAAATCAAAATCCTGAACTGATTGAATTTCATGATTTTGGAGCTTGTAGCATTTTGTGAGACGTAGAACATTCGATATGCTGCATTCTATAAAATTTCAAGATCTTGACCATAGTTTTTTTTCCCCCTGAATCTTTACTTCGTCAGTATCTCTGGCTAGATATTGAACTTTGCAAGAGGTTTTCAAGCTCGCATAATTGTAAGCCCACCTTTCCCCATCTTTCCACAGCGGCCACTACAAGCGCTTAAATATCTTTGAAACTATAGCAGACGAAAACCAATTTGTTGCCTAGTAGCTTACCGTTGGAAGTTCTCGAGCGGTTGAATTAACTGAGATGTTGCCGAACTCATCGCTGAAGATTCCGAAACTGTTCAGCGATGGTGCAGTGTCGGCATGTGGCGATATTGGTGGCCCACTGTTTCCAGTTGGCACACCAGAGTCCTGCTGGAACGACGTCCTGGGTGGCTCTGCGAGAAGATGAAAGAACAGTGATGGTTAAACTTTTGATTGCAGCCTTATATTGTAGTGCTTCAACCTACCCAGCGTCCTGAATACGATGGCTCTGCTGCGGTACTTTTTGCCGTTCCAGACCGCCGCTACCGTCAGCTGGTACTGGGTATCGGGTGATAGTCCTCCGAGTGTGACCGCCTCCCGGTTTCCGGCCACCACTACGACAACCCTGTAACTTAAAGTTAATCAATTATCTTGCTTTGCAATAACTACAACGGCACACGGCTAGGGAGTATGCGCCTACGTATGTCATATGCATATTCTCTGAGGTGGGGCGGGATGGCAGCGGTAAACATCAGTAACAAGCAGTCGTATTAGCTTTGAGATGCATTTTTTTATTTAATTAACTCAAAATCGAAACACGGTAAATGGGAACAATGTATTGTTTTATGGCAAGTCGGATTACATATTGATGTTTAGTGTACACTGCACTAATGTATGGTGGATTTAAAAAAATGATGAATATTTACACATGCGCTCTAATGTTTCTAAAAGTCAGTTTTAGCTGGAACATGCATCTGAAAATTACATGCGAATCTAAAATGTTTTAAAACACCATGATTTTTATCGAAAACACAACTGCTATCGAGCATCGCTACTACGTTGTTCCAAAGATAAAATCAGCTTGACGAAATTGGCCGTTCAGAAATAATAGAAATACGCAATGAATTTTAATGCATTCGAGAGATAATAATAGAATTCCAATAACGCCACACAATCGGCATGGTAGTCGAAAGAAATGAAAATCAATAATACAGAGCTATACCGGGAACGTAAAACAGGCCGACCTGAGCTTCGGTATTACTTATGGATGTGGATCCTTTATTCGGTTCCCTCCATTTCTCCACCATCATTCATCCTCAATTTGAGAAATTCATTAAGCTATACGACCTGGAGGTATAGGCTATTTCCGTTCCATTGATGACGCTGATGGCAACTATGACGATGACGATTACATGTCCATTGTTGTTTTGACTGCAGTTCGTTTTTTTTTTCTATTGGGGGAATTATCCTTATTAAGTTATTATGCCCATCAGGCTGATTAATGATTTGGCTGGGTTTGATCTAGCTTTATCTATTGATAAGACATGGCATTTGACTGTTTCGAGCTGACGAATGGGAACATTAGTAATGTAGTGACGTAATGATTGTACACGCGGTAAATTGGTTGCCGGTTAAAGCTTTCAGGAAAATAATGCTTTCTCGTAAGCCAAAGCGTTCCTCAAGGTGGTAATACTCCACAATCAGACGCTATTTTCAGTTTGATAAAGGCAGCTTTGGAAACGTAATATTAAAACAATGAAATGTTCCTTAACCCATGAAAAAACTCCTTCACTTCCTCTGAGCAAAGTCGGTTAACAAAATGAAAGCAAATCGATATTAAAGTGTGCAGTTCCTATCATAATGAAAACTCATTTTGATTTCAAATGTTGCGACATAAGTCTGATATCATATTGTGCTTTCATTATGCAGTCAAGACGTTTTAAATGAAAGCAACTTAACTTGAAGTTCTGCTGTTTACGTCTTGTTTAAAATTTAATTGAAATTCATCTGTCGTTGAACTAATGATTATCGTTTATCTGATTTGTTTAACACATTTTAGGTCATTCGTGACTTGCCCGTGGTGAGATTGGAGCCTAAGTCTTTCAGCTTGAGAAACATGAATGGTAACCATTTACTCTAGGCCCGTATTCAGTTAAACATTATGAATGCAAAATCAGTAATCAAATTGATTTCATTGAAAGCAGGATTAGTATTCTGTTTGCTTCAACAGTGTAAAATTTTGCTCTCATTTTTGCTGTGTTAACCGTTAAGTCAACCAAAATGAGATCAACTGGAGTATTCAAAATAAGTTACATCATAACAGCAAATTTTGATTTCAATTTGATCTTCAGCTTTGCTCGGGTAGCTACGCAGATGTAATTTCCTGCCCGTGTTTTTTTTTAAGTCAGAGCAGCAGAGCAACGGACAAGCTTGCATATGAAGCTTTATCTTGAATTTTCTTAAGAACTTTAACTTATCATGTTTATATTACTTCGTGTGAAACTTACAATTCAAATAGTAGGAGATGCATAAAGTCAATATCAGATTTAAGGTGAACATTGTATACGATAGATGAAGAGATGAAAGTATAGAATTGACAGTTCCGTTAAAGTTAGTACGGCAGTACGAGGTAAGTTGAAACGGAAGCCGTAACTATATGCGGAAGTGGGTTATGACCAGAGTTATGGCATAACCATTAGCAAGTTGATATTTTTCCGCTCCCGTACGTTCGCAAAATCACGCATGATATTGGAGAAAAATATCATACTTGATATTGATTTTCTAAGCTCCTTTGATATTGCGAGACTATTCACTATGTGTAAAGCGGAAGCTGAGGGTTGAATCGATGCAAAAACTATTTGGTTAAGCGCCCATTACACATATCAATATATTGACAATAAATTGACATACTGACAATATTATTGAAAAGATGGCATTGAAGACGATGATTGCTTGACGAAGAGCTGATTTTAATTTCATTTTGTCAATACTTAGAATGTATTGACAAAAAACCGTCAATTTCGCTATCAATATCATCAATATACGAATATTGACAACATTAATGAGAATACGTTAAAAGCCTTTTAACCTCCAAATATTAAAGTCAGTATTATTTGTCTCAATTTCCCCACACATGAAACACGGATCAGCGAAAGAAAGTGTGTTTATAGTTAATGTTTGCATTTGGGTCAAAACAGAAACGATTGCTGGACCTGTATGTATTGAAAATACTAGCTACACACTGAATTCAGATCACCGAAGTCGGTAAATTTGGCCGGGTTTTTGAATAATCGACAAATTTGATTTGTATCATTAAATGGGGTTCTATAGGTCCGTTTATTTTCGGAATAAATTTCCAAATTTTTAAATTTTTCACTGATTTTTAAACTTTTACCGAACAATTCCGCAGTTCAAAAATTACCAAACAGCGGAGTTCTGGTTTAGTGGATATATATATAGAAACAAATGTTCACCCAACATTCACTTATACTTGCACATTTTAAATTAATTTTCAGGATTTTTAGAATAAATAGTGTTAATTAATGATCTATTCCAGGTCTATTCTTAAGTTCTCAAAATGATGTAAGAACTAGGATGTATCGTGAACGTGGGTTATTCTGCGTGAGCTGTTATACCAAATTGGTATACCAAATGTTGTAACTGTTTGACAGGACATAGAAAATACACAGGACAACAGATAACATGACATGTACTTCCAAATTGATCGAATTTAATCAAATCGATTGTAGAGTGCCCGGAACTACTACACGTGTGGCATAACCCACGTTCACGGTACGCAGTTTCCCAAGTAGAAACTATCATGCTGATGTTTTGGTAAACATTCATTAATGAAAATCATGCATATAATAATTAACATGCCACACAATTTTACACCGAACTGGGTAAATCAAAATAAGTACAAGATAACAAGTTGAAATGGAGGATATACCATTCTCAGAACAACAAATCACTTCAAAATGTTGAAGGATAGCCAAGAATCAGCAATGGGTGCTTTTAAAAAAACGTCATTTTTATTTTCTGGAAGTCTACTGGTTCCAGGTGATAAATCGAACTACTCCAGGAATTTGTTTCCCAAATTTACCCGATTTCTTATGACATTTTTCTGGAGTTACTTCTAAGCTGAGTGGTGCGAAGTGAAATTTTCTTCATGTTGGTAGTGTTGAAATAAACGTTTCATCACCGTCGGTTGGTAGAGAGAAGTGTCAAACGGCTTTTTGTGCAGAGCCGATTCGTGACTTTGTGAACTCCATGTTTCGCGGAAGCTACGGGTTTATTAATGGTATTTCCTCCATTACAGTGCTAAATAGCTACAGTGGTGGCCATTAAAATAGGACAATAGGTCGATTTTCATACAAACTAGCCAACTTTGGCATATTGCAACTATGTTTTGTTATGATCAATTGAGCTGAAATTTTGACATAGAACTCCAAATGTGCTGAATTTTGCGTGTACGTAATATCAAATTATTAGAAGTTTGTTCGTACGAGCTAGAAGAGCGTTATCAGTGATTGCGGTGGTTCAAGGAAAATTAAATAAAGCATTTCTGAAAACATGACGCTGCAAAGTCTCTAGGCCAATCGGGTGAGATCTTTCCATTTTATCGGTGCCCTTAGATTTTTTCGCAAATTTTCTCACACGCACGTCTCTTGCCGATGATATGTGCTAACCTCTCAGTATCTTCTAACTGTCGCATATAACAAATAAAAATTGACTTTCAGTCGCTAACCTAAAATTTATCTATTTATATTTTATTTTTTGTCACTGATTTATCAAATGCTCTATATTGACGAATAGAGTTGCCAAATCATTCACCCTCCCACTAACACAACTCTTTCCTTCCTGTGACACCTATGAAGGTAGTATGGGTTCCCTGCACCTTCCTAAGTAGATGTTGGATTAACTTTCCCTCCCTTCCCCTGCTATTGTAAGGATGTGGCCAGGTGTATAATGCGATGCTTGTATTGTAGATTTTATTTTCGTGTGGGGAAAATCACTAATCCCAAGTGATATTTTCTGCGTCAACACTCGATATTTTCTGCAAAACGTATTAGTTGACCATTATATAGCCACCCACGATTTGTACAATCGCATATGCTATGCTATGCTATGCTAGAGCCGATTCGTGACTTTGTGATTGTTTGTTGACATTGTTCATAGCTGGAGTTTTTACGGAGTGGAATAAAATTCAGAATGAAGTGTTTTGCTCACTTTTGCAATTATAAAGATGGACACGACGAAAAGCGAAGCCTATTCAGTGGAAGTGCTGTCGAAATTCCCTGGGACCTCCAATGGCAACGATTTGACTTCCCTCCAAATCGTGTGAAACTCGAACATGAAAACTCTATAGAACCCCCGTAGAACCTTTCTGGCAGCAACTAAAATATCCACTGAAACCTCCTCTGTCGCGGGAAAAATCTGTTGAAATTTCCTGGAACTTTTGTACTATCATCACAAATCTCCTTAGAACGTTCTCCGAAGTCACAGTCGTTCCTGAGCGAAAAAAAATCGGAGGGGTTTTTTTCAGCGCAGGAGTCTACTTTGGTCCAAAATACGCATAATACTGTTATTTTTAATTGTTTGAGTCGTTTCGAATCACGTTTTTAA